TATGATTCCAATACTGTACAACATATCCAAACTGTATACAAACAATGAAAACTGAAATTCTGTATACTTCTATCACAACATTTTTGTGTAGAAATCAGTTGTCCAAAGCTTGTCACCACTCAGTTACTGTGCCAAGAGTGTTTTGGTACTAGTTTTAAACTATATATTTCCTGTAAAAATTTATTATTCAAATGTGAATGTTATATTTCCTTTTTCTTTGAATTTTACATGCCTTTGGTAACTTTTTTTTGGTATTATTTGCATTGTACCTATGACACCTGCATTAATTATTTATTGTAGCCATTCTTCCATTTTACATGAGTCATTACATGGATGAATGCACCCATCAATCCTGGTAAACAAAATACCAAAGGAAGTCAAGTTCTTTGAATTATGTTAAGTATATAAACTGCTGCTTTTTGTTTTCTCATCCAATTTTCACTCAGTTAATTTCTTCATACATTGCTTCTTTTATTTCATTTCATTTATTTTGTCTTCAGTAAACATCAAATTCATGGACACAGGAAAATAGAAAGACAAATATAATTTATTCATAAACTAAATACATCATCAAATACAGATGCAAAAGACATTGAAACATTAAATTTACAGTACCAGAACAAAAACAGAAATAACTAAAATTAAAATTTTAAAATCCAAGTTTACAATTGGAATTTTCAACAGTAAATGAAATTAGTATGAAAGAAATTATTATATCAGAAACACAAATATCCCGTATTAAGAAAAAAAATAGAGATAACTAATCAGTAAGCCTACAGTATCTTATTAGATAAAGTATTTTGCTAGTTGAAATTGATGTGGATTTAAATTACAGATAAACTACTACAGTCGACTTTGCCTAAGTCGACTTAGTTTACATGCCAAATTGTTGTGTTTTCCATTAATTTAGCAAGGTATAAACCAAAACAGAAAACTGCTCTTATATTCCATCATCAAACATTAAATTTACAGTACCAGAACAAAAACAGAAGTAACTAAAATTAAAATCTTAAAATCCAAGTTTACAATTGGAATTTTCAACAGTAAATGAAATTAATGTAAAATAAATTATTATACTAAAAACACAAATATTCTGTATTAAGAAAAGAAATAGAGATAACTAATCAGTAGGCCTATCTTATTAGATAAAGTAGTTTGTTGATGTGGATTTAAATTACAGATAAACTACTACAGTCGACTTTGCCTAAGTCAAATAATTTCTAAGTCGACTTAGTTTACATGCCAAATTGTTGTGTTTTCCATTAATTTACAATCTGTAGGTCAAATTTTATCTAAGTCGAACAATTTTTCAATGGCATTTTGGATTCGACAAGTTCAACTGTTACGGGAAAATTGATTGCAAGTTTACATTCCCTAACTTTGTTACTAATTCATATGACTGGCATAGATTACTTGACATTTATGAAATCAGGAACTGGGTCTGGTATAGTGGTCATCATTACCAGCCCTTCAGGTCTGGTTTGCCTTGAGGGTTCTGTAATGAGCTGTAGGCTTCAGGTCTGCATATGTTTCCAAACCCCTGTTCTCAGTCGATTGTTGGACGTTAATGTAGTCGGGCACTTGGTCTGGTACAGAAGTAGTTGTTACTTCTCTGCTGTTAGTGGCCTTTATGCATTGGTTCAGTTTTCGGGAGAGATGTATATTAACAGCTGTTTCAATAACAGCAAGTGGGAACAGAACTGCTATGATGACAGATAGGACTATAATGCCAATGTTCCAAGATTGACACATGCTGGTCTCCACATCAAGAAGGATCGTAGGTGAGCTGTCTTCTATACATGCTTGGTCAGGTGCTAAATTGCAACTTCGTTTTCCATTAGTACAAGAAAAGTTTTTTTCTAAGTCATCTGCTTCAACAATAACTGTATAATTTAAGTATATGTAAGATTGAATTGTAACTGGGATTATGTTTTCAATTTCTCCTCCATTCCTTGAGCATTGCAGTTGGACAGGTGGATTACCAAGTTCAGAGTAACACGAGATAGTAACATTTGAACCAATTAATGCAGATAAAAAAGCACATGATTCACAAATTGGAAACAAAGATGATGGAGAATAGCGAGCTTCCAGGATGAGACCACCTGATACTAGCACTGCCTTACCTGTGCTCTTAAGAGTTACTTCACAGGTGTAATTGTTACCATTAAGCAGATGACCAAGATCATGACCTCTCACCTGTCTTATTATTACATCAAATGTGCTGTGTAGTTTGTAAGCTTCTGCCTCTCTTCCTAGATCACTTATCAGCATACCATCTCTGTAAATAACTGCCCTATCGCCTGTTATTGTTTCTCTATACCATGAGATTGAGTAGTCATCAGTCAGGTTCACCACTGGACAGTAAAGATCAACAGCAGCTCCTTCATATATTATACCAGATCCAATAGAAACACTACCAAAGGATGGAGTGCCCTGTGCAGGAAGAGCAAGTGCTAATAGGCATATGACTCCAATACTGTACAACATCTAGAATCCAAACTGTGTAAATCAATGAAAACAGTAAACCTCTATTATATGCTTACATTATATCCTAGAATTTTTGTGTAGCAATCAGTTTTCTGAAGGTTATCACCACTCAGTTATTGAACTACAGTGTTTTGGTACTAGATTTAAAGCTATATAATTCCTGTTAAATTTAGCATTTTATAATTAAATTGTGAATGTTATATTTCCTGCTTCTTTGAAATGTTCATGCATACAGTAGTTGGTTATTTTTGTTGGTTTTATAGCATTGTACCTATGAATCCTTCATTAACTTTTATTTCAGCCACTCTCAGTGCTGCATTCTTTAGTCTTTTAGTACAAATGATCTTCCTTGAATAGATTTTTCTTTACAATTCTGAGCTGCTTTAGTATTCACTTTTCACACAATTCATATCCTATACATTGCTTATTTTATTGCATTTCATTTCCTTTATTTTGTCTTCAGGAAACTTCAAATTCATGGACAGGAGAAAATACAAAGACAAAAATACATGCAATAGACACAAACATATTCATGAAATAAATAGAACTCCAAGTTAATTGTTCTAATTAGAATTTATTAAAAACTATACAGCGATGTCTATCAAGAGAAGAAAATATAAACATTTTCATATTTATTAATGAATATTGTAATGTTATTCTGGCGCGATCTACAAATTTTCCCCAACGACAGAAACGGGTCAAACACGTTTACTATTGTTATATGACAAGCTCCCAAACGCGTCTGTGAAATGCCGTTTGGAAGCTTGTCGTTCGAGCCATTTATTCCGTTTGGAAGTTAACTCCTCCCCTTTTCATATGGCTGACTGCTCGTGAATGGCAAAATGTTAAACGCGTTCAGCGAAATTTGGAATTTGATCGTGATATAAACAACTTCAAAACTTGTTCAGTGTCCCTACCGTACCTAGGCTATGTAGGCCTAGGCCTATATTTATAATAGTAGTAGCCTGGTAGTAAAATGCTAGCCTACGCTAGGTGACAGTTCACGAAGAAATGTTTATAATAAAGGCCTAAATTTAATTATTTTTCTAGTTGGGGAAACCCCAATGTTTCTTGTATTTTAGTAGGCTAGGCCCTACCGTTACCTGTAGGTTTTATAGAAGAGAAAGCAATCGCCAGTAACCTTGCTATCCAGATTAGATTGTGCGATGAACACCCAACTTATAGGTAGGTAGATTATAGGTTTTACATCTATTTTGTAGAGACGGGTTGTCCATGGAACATAATACTAATGAAGAACGTAGAGTATAGATACTCTGAAAACAATTCGTTAAATTAGCTTATAAGTAATCTGTTTTTAACAAGGAACTAATGCAGGTACAGTATCTAATTAATTATAATATAATTATACATTTATTCATGAAATAACTAGAACTCCAAGTTAATTGTAATTAGAATTTATTAATTATTACAGTGATGTGTATCAAGAGAAGATATAAAAATGTTCATATTTATTAATGAATACTGTAATGTTATTTATCCAAATCAGAGGGCAGAATATAATACTTTAGTATAATTATAGATAAAATAGTAGAAAAAGTAAGACATCAGTGGCAACGAATGTGGCCACGCAAATCCAGGGTTCTGTCTGACCAATATGTTACAGGGGACTTTAAATATAAAAGTAAATCTAATTTATATGATGATAAATCTAACTATGCAAATTTTAATTTACAGAACATTTATTCTTACAAAACTGGGTAATTGGTTTCAAAGATAGGGCCTCAACTGATAAAAAAAATGTTGACTATTTCCAGCGTGGTGCTTCTGGTGGTGATTGGGCAGTACACCAAGAGACAAGCCCCTACTCTTTTCCGAAGAGTGTAAACTGCGTTCTTTAACATACACATGGGCCATAATGCACACAGGACAAATGGCGTAATGAATGTGCGCTATCGTAAACTTTTATTTCAGCCCTCTAGCTGAAATACAAGAACCTGTCTCTTATACACATCTAGATGTGTATAAGAGACAGGTCTCACTATTTGTTTTTCGAAGGGTATTCATCAGACTGAATAAAAATAACCAATAATCAATATATACGAGATATATTTGGTGTTTTTGAATTTTTTGTTCTTTGTAATCTTGAATTTTTGTACTACAATAATTTCAGACTGGTTGTGCTTTTTGTATTTTACCCTATAAAAAAAAAATAAATAAAAATAAAATATTTTGTAATGAAGTTAGGACTAGAATAGCGATATCTTACATCAGACACCAAATTTAGACAACTTTCATGCGCAAAATGGAGAAAAATAAAGACCACTTTCTTAAATTTGTGAACAAAAAATCGAAAAAAAAAAATGTTTTAGAACGCTGCCCCTATTTTTCAGTAAGCTAGGGGAGGGCGCTGGACGGCAAACAATCAATTTTTTTTTTTATTTAGGCCTAATAGGCATTTGCCACTGCCTTGAACATCATTCCAAACATCATTTAGTCATTAAGAACAAGTTCCTTTGTTTTCATATGGTTTGGCATTTTCAACAATTTCTAACTCACAATCGTATCTCATGATAAATAAAGTTGTCAATGGTCCCAGATTCTACAGAATCTTTGTTCATATCTTCATTCGAAGGCTTTGTAGCCGAACGAGGCAGATTTGGATAATCCTGTTGGTATTGGTATTTTGGTTGCTTTGTAGCTTGTTCATTATATGAGTCATTATCGATTGTAAATTCACTTCTGGTGTTTTTCTCTTGGTTGTTTGAATCTCCCTCATCTGTAGATTGTTGATATGTATTAGTTGCTCTTTGTTTTGTATTTCTTCTCCTGTAACACCATACAACAATAAATAGACAAAAGGCTAAGAAGAGAACAGCTCCAATGCTAGCCCCGATCACATTTGGTAGGCCTATTTTACCAGACACATTTGGAGGAGTTGTTCCCACTGCACAGGCTTTGTCAGGTGCTAAATTGCAGCTTTGTTTTCCATTAGTACAAGTAAAGTTACTTTCCAAGTCATCTGCTTCAAGAATAAATGTATAATTCAAAAATATGTAAGAATAAATTGTGATTGTTGTTAGGTTTTCAATTGCGTCTCCATTCCTTAACCATTGTAGTTGGACATGTGGATAACCAAGTTCAGAGTAACAAGAGATAGTGACACTTGATCCTGTCAAATTAGATGAAAATTCACATGGTTCACAGATTGGATACAAAGATGATGGAGAATAGTAAGCTGCCAGGATGAGACCACTTGATACTAGCACTGCCTCACCTGTACTCTTAAGAGTTACTTCACAGGTGTAATTGTTACCATTAAGCAGATGACCAAAATCACGACCTTTCACCTGTGTTATTCTTACATCTTTCATACTGTGGAGTGTGTAGGCTTCTGCCTCTCTACCTAGGTCATTATTTATCAGCATGCCATCCCTGTAAATAACTGTCCTATCACCAGTTATTGTTTCTCTATACCAAGAGATTGAGTAGTCATCAGTCAGGTTCACCACTGGACAGTTAAGATCAGTATCCCTTCCTTCATTTGTTATAGCAGATCCAATAGAAACACTACCAAAGGATGGAGTGCCCTGTGCAGGAAGAACCAAGACTAAGCATATGATTCCAATACTGTACAACATAATCCAAACTGTATACAAACAATGAAAACTGAAATTCTGTATACTTCTATCACAACATTTTTGTGTAGAAATCAGTTGTCCGAAGCTTGTCACCACTCAGTTACTGGGCCAAGAGTGTTTTGGTACTAGTTTTAAACTATATATTTCCTGTTAGTATTTATTATTCAAATGTGAATGTTATATTTCCTTTTTTTTTTAAATTTTACATGCATTTGGTAACCTTTTTTGGTATTATTTGCATTGTACCTATGACACCTTCATTAAGTATTTATTGTAGCCATTCTTCTATTTTACATGAGTCATTACATGGATGAATGCACCCATCAATCCTGGTAAACAAAATACCAAGAGGAAGTCAAGTTCTTTGAATTATGTTAAGTATATAAACTGCCGCTTTTTGTTTTGTCCTCCAATTTTCACTCAGTTAATTTCTTCATACATTGCTTCTTTTATTTCATTTCATTTATTTTGTCTTCAGAAAACATCAAATTCATGGACACAGGAAAATAGAAAGACAAATACATACAGACAGAAATAATTTATTCATAAACTAACTCCAAGTATAGGTGTAATTTTGCCCTACCTGACGTGGAAATGTGCCGAATACTCAGTACATTTGAAAACAACTGCGAAAAAAATTGCAAGTTGTTCTCGGGTGGGACTCGAACCCATGATCTCTAGATCACTAGCCTGGCATCATACCTTTAGACCACCGAGTTTGCGCCTGATGGCCAGGGTTGAATTCGAGTCCAAGTAAGCAGCGGGTACTGCAGTGTTGATAGTAATTGTTATTGTCGTGATGGAAAAATAGACAATAACTGGATTTGCGTCAGGAGAAACATGTATAGGTGTAAATATTAAAAGAAAATTTCAAGAATTTTTTTTTTTTTTTTTTGAAAAAATGAAAATTTCACAACAAAAATAAAAGTTTTTCTTTATTAATATTGTTATGCCTCTGCTGCCATGAAATCTCCAAAGATAAGATATAATGTATAATTATGTAAATTTGAAGCATTAACCATCCCATTTTACATTCAACAATAAAATTTTATATTTATTTTCTCCTCCGTTTGGATGTTATTGACAAATCTATTTGCTAAATAAGAAAACAAAATTTTTATTTTTATTATAATTCTGTAATGAGCTGTAGTTAACTTCTTCTCTAGGATTGAGGTGGTGCTTCGTCTGGTACAGTGGTCATCATGGTTAGCCCTTCAGTGTCCTTTTTCTGTTGAGAATTTTGTAATGAGCTGTAGTTTTTGATATTAATGTAATTGGGTGCTTGATTTGGTACAAGAGTGGTTGAAACTTCTTCATTTGTAAATTGTCGATATGTGGTATTTGCTCTTTGGGTTGTGTGTTTACCTGTTAAAACGTACATAACAAAAATATTAATGGTTTGATTTCCAATCCCAAATATCGTTGGGCTAATTACCACCTTTTGGGCCATACTAAACCATAAAATCTCTCCCCATGAGCCCTACCAGGAATTTTTTATTCTGGTACCTTGACTGAGGATCCATACCACCGCTTGAATCTAACCCCACCATTGGACTTGTCGGACCCCCCTGTCACAAATATATGGAGACAACACTGATCCTGGCAAGCAGAAAACCTGGTAACTGTATGAAGTAACTATAAAAAATATAAGTGAAGTTTTCATTAAAATTGGTTAAATTCAGACAAATATGTGATATTAAGAATCACAATTGTTCAATGACTTATTTTATTTTTTTTTATTTGAAATACAAAAATAACATTCAAGGAGAAAACACAATAAAGTACCAAACTGGCAAACTTATTTTGCTTGTTTTATTTAGATATTATAATAATAATAATAATAACAATACTGTAATAATAATAATAATAATAATAATAATAATAATAATAATAATAATAATAATAGCTACAGGCTGTAGTCAGCATCTACAAAAGTGGGTTCTAAGCATTGAGTTATGGAAAACATCAACTAAAAGCCAAGTTGGGTTTATCGATGCTTAGAAAGAAAACTTCTTGAAGGCAAATAAAAAGAATGTTGTAATTATCCTACAAAACCAATTTTCAATGTAAAGGGTTGAAAAAAACATCCACTGGTACACTGGTATTGTTAGTGTTTATGGGCTTTTTGGTAGGGGGTTTTCTGCACAAGGAGGGGTCGTTTCTCTGAAATAAGGGTTTGGTCAGAACGTTTAAAAACCTCATGGCTAGGGGTCTGTAATGTCACACTGATGTTTGACTGATCCCCATTAATGTAATAATAATATGAATCATGAAACTATTACCAATGTCTAAGTTATTAATATAAATGTTATACTTTTAGTAGTATTCTACTTCTTGGCAGGTTCACAGGCATTCAGTTTCTCTTGAATTTTTTGTGGTTTAGTTTGTGCTTTTCTCAGTACAATAATATTTTATATCCTTTTTTCATGTTGTTTATTAAAGCAAATTGCTTTCTCACACAGCATGTTTTCTTTATTATATGTCAAATATATATTATTATTATGACTAAAATATCCTTTTGTTTTACTTGGTTTGTATTAACTATCATATGTTTATCTTGTATATTTTAATTTCCGAAATGTCTGCCCATCGTAAATGCTTCCATTTTATGTCATTTCTCACTGAATGCTGTCGTGTTTATTTGTATAACATTTTTATTTATATTATTTTATTCTCATACTATCATTTTTCGACCATTCACTTTACTTATTTATTTGACTTTTATTATTGATTATATGATTTTAATTATAGGCTCATATCTTTAGCTATCTACAACTCGCACTAAAAAGCCAGAATACAGTATATACCAACCAAACTGAATTTAAATTTTAAAGGCATTGTGTACTATATTTGCCTGTCATAAAGACAACTCTATTTACTGTATATATATCATTATTTTTTAAAAGCAAAACTGATTTAATATTCTTTTAGTCATTTGACTATAAAATTCATAGTTTTCTTTGGAAATTTGAATCATATTCTGTAGATTTGTTGAAACATTGTGTTCATTACAGTTATTTGTGGTTTTCTCCTGTAATGAGATGCTTCATAATTAAAAATAATATTATTTATTTGGCAAAGTAATATAAAATCTTGCTAGGAGCAAGGAGTAGGTATAAGCCAAATCAGAAAATTGCTCTTATATTCCATCATCAAATACTGATGCAAAAGACCTTGAAACATTAAATTTACAGTACCAGAACAAAAACAGAAGTAACTAAAATTGAAATCTTAACATCCTGATTTGAAGTTTACAATTGAAATTTTCAAAAGTAAATGAATAGTATAAAATAAATTATATTAGAAACACAAATATGCAGTATTAAAAAAAATAATAGAGATAACTAATCAGTAGGCCTATCTTATTAGATAAAGTATTTTGGTAGTTGAAATTGATGTGGATTTAAATTACAGATAAACTTGCCTAAAGTCGACTTTGCCTAAGTCAAATAATTTCTAAGTCGACTTAGTTTACATGCTAATTGTTGTGTTTTCCATTAATTTACAATCTGTAAGTCAAATTTTATCTAAGTCGAACAATTTTTCAATCGTATTTTGGATTCGACTTAGGCAAGTTCAACTGTATATGGGAAAATTTATTGCAGGTCTATGTTCCCTAACATTTTTAATACTACAGTAATTCATACGAATGGCATTAGATTGCTTGACATTTATGGGTCTGGTACAGTGGTGATCATTACCAGCCCTTCGGGTCTGCTTTGCATTGAGGGTTCTGCAATGAGCTGTAGTTAGCCTCTTCTCTAGGCTTCAGGTCTGCATATGTTTCCAAACCCCTGTTACCAGTTGATTGTTGGACGTCTGGTACACGAGTAGTTGTTACTTCTCTTCTGTGCATTGCATTGGTTCAATTTTCGGGAGAGATGTATATTAACAGCTGTTTCAATGACAACAAGTGGGAACAGAACTGCTATGATGACAGGTAGGACAATAATGCCAATGTTCCAAGATTGACACATGCTGGTCTCCACAAGAAGGATCGTAGGTGAGCTTTCTTCTATACATGCTTGGTCAGGTGTTAAACTGCAACTTTGTATTCCATTAGTACAAGAAAAGTTTTTTTCTAAGTCATCTGCTTCAACAATAAATGTATAATTTAAGTATATGTAAGATTTAATTGTAACTGGGATTATGTTTTCAATTTCTCATCCAATTCCTTGACCATTGTAGTTGGACCCATGGATTACCAAGTTCAGAGTAACAAGAGATAGTGACATTTGAACCAATTAATGCAGATGAAAAATCACATGATTCACAGATTGGATACAAAGATGATGGAGAATAGTAAGCTACCACGATGAGACCACCTGATACTAGCACTGCCTCACCTGTGCTCTTAAGAGTTACTTCACAGGTGTAATTGTTGCCATTAAGCAGATGACCAAGATCACGACCTCTCACCTGTCTTGTTCTTACATATTTCATACTGTGGAGTGTGTAAGCTTCTGTCTCTCTTCCTAGGTCATTGTTTATCAGCACACCATCCCTGTAAATAACTGCCCTATCACCGGTTATTTTTTCTCTATACCAAGATATTGAGTAGTCATCAGTCAGGTTCACCACTGGACAGTTAAGATCAACAACAAGTCCTTCATGTATTATACTAGATCCAATAGAAACACTACCAAATGATGGAGTGCCCTGTGCAGGAAGAACCAGGGTTAAGCATATGATTCCAATTATTACAACATATCCAAACTGTATATAAACAATGAAGGCTGAAATTCTGTATACTTCTATCACAACATTTTTGTGTAGAAATCAGTTGTCCAAAGCTTTTTGTGCAGCAATCAGTTTTCTGAAGCTTATCACCACTCAGTTATTGAGCTCACAGTGTTTTGGTACTAGTTTTAAAGCTGTATAATTCCTGTGTTATAATTAAATTCTGAATGTTATATTTCCTGCTTCTTTGAAATGTACATAGTTGGTTACCTTTGTTTTTATTATTTGCATTGTACCTATTTTATTTGGGTATATTTTAT